CTTTGGGCTGCTGCTTCTTAGGACTCTGGGGTGTAGAAGTCAAAAGGTGTGGTTTTGACTGGATTTCCAGTTCCTCTCAGGCTCCTGGGGGAAGAAAACCCAGCTGAATTGAACACATATTTATAAAATGATCTGGTAGTTCCCAAATTTACAAAATATGCAGAAATTGCTTGGAGATATCATTTTATAAATGGCACCCCCTGTTCAACAGGGGATCTAGGTCAGCAACCCTGGGGGCCCAAATGGTTCAGGTATCTTTGGGCTACTACTTCTTAGGACTCTGGTGTGTAGAAGTCAAAAAGTGTGGTTTTGATTGGGTTTCCAGTTCCTCTCAGGCTCCTGGGGAAAGAAAACCCAGCTGTATTGAATACTGTACATATTTATAAAATGATCTGGTAGTTCCCAAATTTTGCAAAACATGCAGAAATTGTTTGGAGATATCATTTTATAAATGATATCCCCTGTTCAACAGGGGATCTAGGTCAGCAACCCTGGGGGCCCAAATGGTTCAGGTATCTTTGGGCTACCACTTCAAACTTGATGAAATATGTTATTTTTTTTAGAAGAACAATATCCGCTTTCAATAATATAGTCTTAAAATCATAAAAAAAAAAATCCACTTGCAGATTCGAACAATGTTCATATAGCTGCGATATTTTGAATTAGATCATATCTTGCTAATCTTGCTTTGTTATGATTTGTTTGATGTCTTCATATGTATTTCAATTGCTTTAGCAAATCTTTACTGGCAACATTAACATTATTTATATATCTTTTTGAGGTTGACAGGAAGGCGCGGCGATCAACATGAGAGGTATATAAAATGATTCAAAAGCTGGATCCATGACTCTTATGAAATGACAACTCCAGCAACAAATCCTTCAATCAACAAAAAAAACACACAAAACACATCTCTCTAAAATGATCTACTCCAGGTTTCATTAAGATCTTAGATTTAGTCTCAACATGTTTCATCATCCACCCCCTCATCTCTATATAATGATAGCTGAATTGGTCTCAGACATTGTTAGTACTGTCATTGGTTTGTTTTGTCTTTTTTACGTAGTTATGTTTTTATGTAATGAACTGCCGGAGATCATTTCATAGGACTCCTGGAGGCTCATTTCATAGAGGACCAAGTAAGGGGTATTGAAATTCTGTCATCTGTTCAACAGAGCTGGTGCCCCCTTTTTCGCGCCCATCAACTGCGGTTGGGAGCCAAATCCTGAAATGTCAGGCACCGACGTCAGCCCATCACCGAGCCAAAGCAAGCCAACCTGTTCAATCCCAGCAACCTGAAAACGTCAACTCGATCCTTACTAGCAAGGTCCTTCTACCACCACGTCATCAAAACGTCACAACCGTCTCCAGAACTGGCTGTGCATCAAACAATATTAATTAGTTTAATACAGTATACCTGGACCCACAATGGGTGGTTTTTCTGGACACCCCTTAACAGCTAAGGGGCTATAAATAGACACCCTGACAGGAGGGTCCTGGTATATATGATTATGCATATCTGATTAACCCTCCTTCCACCTCTTCCCCATTGAAAACCCTTCCATTTCTGAGCTGCACTGCCGTAGTCCTTCAAGGTCATCTTCCCTTGGCACATTTCGAACGCCGTGTTGATGGCCATGGGGAACGGCAGGCGTCGCATCATAGGGATCTCCTCAGATCGCACAAAAAGAAGAAGAGCGGAAGAGAAGAGGTGTGAACCAGCCGCACAGTGTGAACCAGCAGTGTGCATGGAAGAACGACTAAGCTGCTAAGCCATGCAAAAAATGTAAATAAATCAAACGCAATCAAACTAAGTCACACTGCTGTGTGGTAGGTCCACTTAAAGCCCCAAAGAAACACATGCTGGTTTACAGTGGACCTGTACCCACAATACAGCAAACAAGGGTAACAAGGGCAAACATTCGCCCACAGCAACGCTGGCACTTCGACCTCCAAAAGTGACTCCGGCACATCTGGGCAGTCCGGGCAGTGGCGGCACTAGTGTTTGACGGCGCTCACCCTGGAAAAAGGAATAAATTCTCATCTTCTCCTTTGGCCTCTACTTCCATAAGAACTCGCAGAGGAAAACAAAAGAATTCTTCAGCTGGCACCCCCGGCCCCCGGCGTTCGCACCTCCTTCATCCTACTCCCCCCCGCACCACGCACGCACTTCCAAACACCGCCCAGTCGCCGGCCCCTCGTCTTCCTCGACGTCGCGGCGCAAGACCTTCTCGGCGCCCAAGACTTCCCAAAGGAGGTCAAAGAGCGAACACAACAAGACCTCGGAGCTCGGTTCGCTCGCGTCGCGCGGAGCGAGCGCCGCGCTCTCCGGCTCGACCGCACCCGGAACACTCGTGTGCGGAGCTGGCGAGTCGCTCGGCTCCAACGGCCCCCGCGAGCCGGCACGGAGTCCCGACCCGGTGTGCAAGAACGGGCGGCGCGGGTGAAACGGCGCGGGTTTGGGCACCGTGACTGGAGTTCGGGGGTTGGAACGGATAAAGAGTAAGAGATCTGGTGGCGGATGGAACACTGGAGGTGAGGAGAAGATCTGGTTCAGTCGAAAATGATGATCCTACTTCTGAGGTTTCAGTGTAGAAAGACTATTCCTCCCATAGCATTTGGTCACAGGTCTCTCAGTCTCTCCATTTACGGCCAGAAAAGCAGGTTGTGAACCCCCCCCCAAAAAGGAGAAACTGCTGGGCAGCGTGTCTTGCGTGTCGCCATATCCTGGACACGTCCGAGGCGCGTTCTGGTCTTGATGTGTCTGCCAAAGTGACTCTCTGGCCTCGCGTGCCGCGCACGAACGCCGCAAACTCCCGCCGTGTGTCGAACGCGTCGTTTCACCGCGGTGTGTCGAAAGCCGCATTCAAAACACAGAACAAATGGAAAAGCCTGGCAAAAAGTGCTTGGCAAAAGCGCTTTTGAAGGGCAATATAGTTCTTTGCATGGCTATTACTTCCAGGAGAGTTATATTTTGGTGTTTGTTGATGAGATAGCAATCGTTCTCGCGGCTGAACGGTGCATGCCTAACACCTTAGCTGCAAGATTTGAGAGAGCGTGGGAAGCTTTGCTGGAGCAGACTTGCTCTGGCGCGCTGCTTCAGAGTAAAGTGTGCTGTTGAGGACTTCTAGAGCTAGTACATGCGCCCGCAAGCCTGACTCTTTGCAAAAGGGTTGTCTGACAGTTGTACACGAGATTCAGGATCAACTCGAAGGCAGCAGGCGTGCAGAGATAAATCAGATTTGACAAGAAAAACAATACAGGTCATAGGGCTTTTATGTAGAAAATCGTCGGTGAAACCACCTAATTAATCCTAATTAAGCATTTAGCCTAATCCAGTTGAAGGAGAACTTGTCTATCAACAGCCATGACTAAATCTGGTCAAAACCACAACGATTAACACCTCCACAAAATACTGTCCACAACTCGATAAAAAGAGAAGTGAGACCCCCAAGCCCCATGGTTTCATTATATAGCAGCGTAAAGAAGCATGAAAACACCCCCCCAAAAAAAAGAACTCCTTAGAGGTGAAGGGGTGTCTAATCACAGCCCCTTAGAGGTGAATGGGTGTCTATCATGGTCACCAAATGGGTCAGGACCAATCCCCAGAAGCCGGGTTGCTCGATGAGGGCAATGCAACTGGAGCGGCTCGCCGGGACGCGCGCCGTCGCGGCCGCCCAGGCGTTCCAAGTATTTGGAACCTGAGATCTGTGAAAGACCAGGTGGTTGTCAGTTGACCTGTGCACAGGAAGTGTGCACATATTGGTCAATGGTCTGTGTTTAATCCCATGGTCCTGCTATTTCGGATGCATGTTGCCCCAACGCCAGCAGGCAGTTTTCTTTCTTGGTGCCACTTAGATTTTCTGCTTTTAAAGAAATAGAGCTTCAATGGAGGTTGGAAAGGGATCTTCTACAGACCAACTTGCAGCCGGACTCCTTTTTGGGAGCTCTGGCCACGCCGCGACCGGGTACAAGGTGTACAGTACCAAGGTACTTGGGCGGTCTTCGATCTCTTGAAGTCTCTCCTCTTTGCAGTTGAAAGGTTATAAGGGGCATGTTCTGCTTCGATGTCTTCCGCCGTCCTGGTGGCCAGTCTGTGGAAAAAAGCGCAGGGCGCGCGCTCAAACCGCTTCCTCATGCTTGCTCCACATCGCAGCGATGTCATCAGAAGACAAGGGCAACACCTGTGGCCCCCCCCAACACAAACAGCTGCCTCCCCTCAAGAAGACCACAGGGTACCACCAGGTCTCCCGGACCGTCTCCCGGACCGTCTCCGAGCTTTCCGGGTCGCGGTTGTCGAGGGCCAGTTCGACGTTCGGATCGACGTTGTAGTCGCCAAAGACCTGGGAGTGGCGCCATGAAGTGGCGCCATGCAGCGCACTTCCTCTGCAAGCGAACTTCCACGCAAACATCATGTAGAATCTGGGTTCATCAACCACCTTTTTTGAGAGGTGTTGCATGGTGTTACATTGTTCTGGGATTATTGATCGAATGCCTCCTGCATTAGTTCAAAGGTGACCAACCAACCTATGAAGAAGTGGCCATCATGTGATCAACCAGCCTATGAAGTCACATCTATCATCGCTTGTGTCCGAACCGAACATCCCGTGAAGCGAGCAGGTTCCAAGTGTACTTTCAAACATCCTGAAAAAAAGAAAAGCTAAACAAGAGAGATGACACAGTAGTTCATGGCTGGCGGATTCCTAAGTTCCACGTCTTCTTCTTTACACTGGCAAGACCCATAGGATGAACTCATCTAGTACAACTCATCCGTCCAAACATGTGAATTCCTCGCTGACGTCGAGTCGATTGCTGTCGGATCTGCCTTCAGCGCCATTGAGCGGATCTCCTCCTTCGTCTGTGGTAGCTGGGACGCACGCATCTTGCCTCGGTTCCGAGGGGCCGAGGGGCTCACCACGTGCCGGGCACCTGTTCCCTTGAGCGCATTCGAAAAAACGGTGTGAGCGGATCGAACCGGAGAACCAGGCAAACTGGAGAAAAGGACCCCCCTTTTTTCTCTAAGTAGAGCCCACAAATCAAAGATTGGAAAGCTAGCTGGGACTGTTTTTGAGAAGCGATACTTCCGAATGGATTCGGGTGAGAACTCAGCCCCGGAGGCCACAACTTCAAGGGGCCGGTGCTTCTGGACATGTCAAGCACAGACAGAAGATGTCAGCCATGTGGTCGTAAGGGCCCAAGTCGCAGCAAGACAGTGCAAGCGCACCGGGTACCCAAACATACCAACTACCTGGACCATCCTGTCTAGGTGTCTGGCTGGGGATCCGTGAGTAGTGCAGGGTAGTCCAGCCAGGACACCCATTGGATGCTCCTGGTATATATGTTGGGAATGGATTTTCCAAGGTGATCTTCTCAAACTTTCTCTCTGAGGCTTCTACAGTTTACTGATTACTGCAATATACCCCTCCACCACAGCAGACATGGCATGTCCAATGTCCATGTCTTTCGGTGTCAAAAAAAAAGCCTGTAACGGAACCCCCTCTCTTGAAAACAAAACATAAACATCTCCATCCCTTCCCCTTCCTATCCTCCAGGTGTGCCCCTAAAACCCCCACCGCTCCGCCGGTGTCCGCCCAGTTCCACGACGCCCTTCGAAAACCGAGGCGCGCGTCAGCTGACGAAGCCATTGTTCCACCTCCTGGGCTTCCTGAAAGTTCGCCAGCTTCCGCTCCTTCTCCTCGGTCTTTACGCCGCGTCACGCGGTTCGCGCGTGTTCGGTGGCGTGGTGCGACCTCGCGAAGTCGACCGGGCAGTGACCTGGGTCAGGACTCGGCCGGGTGACCTGGGTGCGAGCGACTGAGCACTGCCTGAGCTCCAAGGGAGGAGCCTGGACTGAGCACGGCCTGGAACTGTTCTTTGGTTTGAAGGGACATCGGGCAAGGATCCAAACTGTCTGGGATTCCGTCAGGGATGTGTAATTCAGAGAGCTGTTGAGTTGGGAAGATGATCAGAGAAAGGAGGAGGATGTTTGTGGGAGGGGAGAAACCGTACAATTCAAGCTTCTGCAAAGAAGATGCAAGTTTGGTTTAAGTTTAAAGGCATGCAAACATCCCAGAATGGCTGACTGATGGTCTCTGAGGGTTTCTTGAGTCCAAGAGGAGGACGATCATCACAGCCAAGCTGACCCGGAAACCAAAAGGAGAATGGTCAACACCGCATGAATACCACAGCTAAGGTAATCAGTAGATCCACCTCCAGTCGTACAGTACCTCCTCAGAAGGTATGACTCGACCCTCCTGGCACCCACCCCAAACGCCTTCTCAGAAGGTACGACTGGAGGCCTAGGGCAGTAGATCCACCTTAGGCTGTCACTCTCTCCCTGCCGCCCAGGCGTCGCTTTCCAGTAGCTCCACGAAGCGCTTGATGCGCGCCGCGCCCCACTGACCCCACCAACGTTGCCGCAGCAGCGACACCTGATCTCTGGCAAGAGTTTGGAAGCCATAGGTCATATAGGTGGTTGGGAGAATGGAGGCCCAAATGCGGGGGGCCAAAAAAGACCAGAAGCTGGACCCAAGTAAGATACATCCTGAAGCACCCACTTTTCTTGTCCTACCGCCATCAAACATGTCCTCAAACCAGCCTCCCAACTTCCTGCCCTCTCACCTCATTCTCAATGATCTCCAAACATTTCCGGATCTGTTGGCAGAGCTGTAGGCTTCGAAGCTCATAATCTTCCGACAGCCGTGACCTCGGCAGAACCACCACGCCCAGCTCCGTGCCGCACCATGCTTCGACCGGTCGAGACAGGTGGTCGACCGATGGCCCAGGCGTCACTGGGACTGGTCGACCGCCGATGCGCTTCGTTGCTCCAGGTTCATGCGGTTGAAACCGAAGAGGTTTCCGGCCGCAGTTTACACTCAAAACCCACATGGAGCCGGGTCGAATGGCACCCTGAACGACTGTTTTCCTTTGCCAATCCAGTGGCTTTCAGGGTCTACGTGAGTCTTGAACAGGGTAGGTACAGCAAGTGTCCTCGAGTGTCCTCCCCAAAAACGCCCTGGCCCGAACCTCTGCCCCGCCTTGCGGTCACATGGGCCAGCTTCCCCAGATATCCAGCCGATTCATCCAGCAAGTCCCAAGGGAGCTCCATGTTGGCATCGGACACCGCCAAAGACACCTGCACACACTGTGCTGCGCCATCCGACAACCCGACCCGGCACACCCGACCCGTCAAGCGTCCGCACCGTGGAAACCCTGGGCCTTCAAGGCCGGGGTGTCCTGTCTGGAGATTCCGGATGGTGGGCTGGGGCGAAACCAGCCAGGTGACCCCGACATGAAGGTGCTGGTACTATAACCTTTGTAGAAAAAAACGAGGATCTTTGGTCATATCCTTGGACATACGGACCTTAGGATATCGATTGGGAAGTCTGAGTACGAGTCCGGACAAGTACGGAGAACGGGTTTTCCTTTTTGAAGGGTTCCCTTTACAGGCATCCTCCAGGAACTTGTTGCATGGAGATGTGAATCTTCTGGTCACTTTTTTGATTGAAACAACTCGTGATGATGTGATGATGGTATGCAAGGGGATTTGTTTTCTTCAAGTTTTGATACCCAAGAGTAGGTCTTTTTCTGTAACAAACCAACATATCTTGCAGCTCATCCGTTCTCCACGAAGACCTTTGAGTCGGAAGAAGACAACGGCCCAGTCGACCCCGAGCCGCTTCACCATGCAGAAACCCGCGCGTTGAGGGCGGCCCCGAACCACTGGAACCTTCCACTCAGAAGTGGCGCCTGCAATCGGTTGGCATGGGAATCTGGATGTGGATCGGTGATCCGACCCAAGTGCTTGAAGATCTGCATCTCATCTTCCTGGCGCCCCAAACCTGCCTTCCTCCAGCCCCGACCCTGGGTGGCTCCAGCCCCCATCGCCGGATCGCACCTCGTGGACGCGTCTGCGGAACGCACACTAGTGATAAAAGCACCCCGAACGCCCAGGCTTCGATCTATACAAAGGAACACCAGAGGACTTGTGAGGGCATGAGCAAGCTCTAGAAACATCCTGGAAATGATGCTTTTTGCACCGTTCACGTGGACCAAGGCTCCCATCACGGTTCCATTACCACTCTACAAAAGGGTCTGAAGATGTTTTTTTGTGGTCCAGTGTGTCACATGTACATCCACTTGTACAGTCATGTCTGCTACGAGATCGGAGAACGGGGTGTTCCACCAACAGTAACAGCTTTTGACGGCAGTTGGAGAAGTGCTAAGAATCATTGTGCAGCCCATGAGGCCCCGTTGAAGACTTCCGCCACTTGAACAACCCAATCCGTACCAAAAACAGAAGGGCTAAAGCGGCTAAAGGATGCTAAAGGGGAGATCGAACATCGCACCGTCACCCAAGCAGTGGAGATGTCTCCTTTTCAAACAGAAGCCGCTCGTCACAAGGGTGAGGCGCCCCATAATGTATCAGGCAAACAGCCACTTATTGACAAATCAATAACAAGCCTCCTGCGGCTACCCTCTTGCTTCTCAAGAGAAAACTCAAGACAGCCTTCTCATTATCTTTCACGACTTCGATCAACACCTGCTCCACTCTCCTCGTACTTGCTATCAGTGCCAACGGCGCTGACCAAAGCAGCCACACCTGGCTCGCGACAGGGATGGTCAACATGAACTATTCCTCAGTGAGCATATATTAATATATATTGTGCTTGGGGTGTAGCCATGTCGATCCCCAGCCAGACCGGATGGGAGGTTTTGAAAAGGGATCAATGAGAAAAGGTGGGACACCCTCTGACAGCTTGCCATGTTTGGGCACTGAACCCATGCTTACCATCCATCAAAGTGCCCGAGAGAGGAGCCTTTCTACGAGGCCACTGAATTGGAAGAATGGAACCCTACGAAGGAAACTCATCTCAAACGTGCCTTGCGGATGTCGGTTTGATCACATGCCTTGCTACTATTTACGGCATCCGTCGAAACATGTCTAAACCACCCGGACAACTACCGAACTAACTACCGACGCTCCAGTTCGCCAGGAAAACCGTTCAACCACTGGTTGGGGTCGGTACCACCCCTGGATGCCATTGCTCTGTTCATCGTTCAACAGGCAGAAATCACCTTACAAATCCTTACAACATGTATCTTTCACAGAAACCCAGACCTCCTTCTTGACCAACATCATCAGCCCCGGACCACTTCCCACCCAGTGCTCTCCGACCTCCCCCGGCCTCCCTACGCGTCAGTCACAGTCAGCCGGTGCCCCTCGTCTCAAGCACTTCCGGTGCTCCCATCGGAACCGAATGGAAAAAGACATCGAGATCGAGATTCTGTTCGCGGTGGTTTCGCGCGCGCCTCGGTAATCGCGGTTCATCCAGCGTAGCATCATCACGTAGAGCGCCGAGGCCAACGTGGGCGTCTGCAGAAACGACCGTGACGCATGCACCTCGGGACGACGCGACGGGACCGGCGGAGACACCGCGGAGGTAGCGACGCGCGCGCTTGGCGTGAGGCTGCGTATGTTCGGTGGCCCGGTTGAAAGAAAGGGGGGTCAAATCGATAAGAGGTGAGGGCAGGCAGGGCAGGGAACAAAAGAACAGAGAACTTCCAGTTGGAAGTTGGAAGACCAGATGACACAAGTGCCCACCGGACAAGATGACACGGTCGTTCTGTTCTGAGTCTTCCAAACCAGGTCGTTCTCAGGGGTCCGTTCCATGGGGAGATCTCTTCATGGTGCGGATGTGTTGGGTCCCACCGCATGCTTTGGGTTGTTCCATTTGCGTTCGACCATCTTAGAGGATGATGCCTAACTTCCTTTTGCCCAGAAAGTACTGGGTTCAAGATGCTTCAGGAATACTATGTATAGGTTCAAATGACTAAACTAAATGGTTGGCTTTATAAGAGAATTGTTCTGTTTCGGTCTGGCGAAAAACCTGGCACATATATAACTGACTAACGTATAATTGACCATGATCATATTATGTGGCTTTTGGCTGGAAGGATATACCCTGTTTTTCTGTTGGCCCAAGGCACTGGGTACAAGAAGGTCTTGTTCTTCGCCCGGCCCCACCACTCCTCGGGTCGTCGTTGGCAGGTCATCGTTGAAACCGCCGCGCGGGCGCGCGGGAAGGCGAGAAGGAAGGCGCGAGCCACGAAGCAGAGAAGCGCGACTGTCCGACTGTGGCATATGTTGAAAGGTAAAGGATCGTATTGGAACATGAACATGAAGCAGGTTCTGTTTTAGTAGTTCTATAATGTGACATGAAATTTAAAGAGTCTTGAAGTATACTTATTGAAGTATCTTGGCGTAGCAAATGGCTTATTCATGCATGCTGCCCAACTGGCATGGCACTGGCGAGAAACCTCGGTCCCGAGCCGGTCGGTGTGAGTGTGGGTCTCCTTCTTCTCCCAAACAACCCATCCTCTTCGACTGATGTCCTTCGTTGCCCTGCCACGCCGGTCAGTGTGGGGTTCGAGGCTCGGAGTTCCCGCGCTCCAGGACCAGCTCCGTGCTGAAGGGGTCCGTGTCCACGTGGGGACGGTGCACCTAAGGGCGCGGCCGCAGCTGAAGAAGGACCGGTGGCGGAAGGGAAAGAGGTCCAATAGCTCCAAGCCCATGTCAAAGCATGTCAAAGCGTTTCTGAAGGCGTCGGGTTCTTCTGGTTTTTGGACATCACCGTCTGTCACAAACCCCCAATGAGGTTCTGAGCGATGTTTCGTTCAGAAGCTACATTGGAGTTTATTCGTTGAATTAGACGAAACCAAAAAGCTCACAAAGCGTTGCAAGCCAACAGCAGAAACAGCAACAGCAATCAACTGTGTCATTTGCTTCTTGCAAAAGATTCCAACTACACATTGCTTTGAAAGGCTCAATATAAACGGAAGTTGCTTTGGATTGCTTTGACATCCAACTGTCTGGACATTAATATCACTTCACCCTCCCCATGCTTAAGCCCCTGTGTCTTTGTTCAGCTCTCTCCTCTTTTTTTTTGTGCGCCTTGATGTTCGGCAGCAGCGCGAAGAACTGGGCATTGGAGGTCTGCAGCAGCAGCGAATGCGGCATCGGCTCCAGCAACTTCGCTGCCTCGACGGATCGAAGGAGAGCGGGTCGTTCGTCGTTCGTCGTTCGTCAGAGACGAACAGCTTATGTTCACAGATGGAAAAGAAACGTTCGGCTTGAAACGTTCGGAAGTCACCCCTTGTTCATCCGGGTGGCCCTTCCACCTAAGACCATGTTTGTTTTTACCTCCATTCCACGCAAAACATGGTCGTTCTCCCTCACAGTCCCTTCTCCATGCTCGTTCTGCTCATCCAAGCACGCTCTGCGTCGCCCCGTCCTCCCGTCCTGCGTGCGCGCGTAGCTGGGTGCTCCTAAAGGAACCGAGAGCTCTGCGTGGTCCAAACTCCACAAGCCCCGTGAGCCGTCGGCGCCGCGTCGCACGGTGAAGGACAAGAGGAGTCGCGGCAGCTCGATGAAGTCGATGGGAGGGTCGAGGGCGCCTTGGGAGCGTGGACGGATGACAGCATCCAGCAGCGCCTCATTGGTTGACCTACCTTCCCAGGTAGGTCAAGCTACATGGGCTCCAGGTTTTTGACCCACGCATACCCATCCCCATATGTGAATGCATATTCTGATCCCAGGCTGAGTAACTAAGGAGATCAAGTCTACCCAGCCAGGGCCATTCGGATTCGGGATCTCCCACATCTGGATAGATCCAAACAAATTGGAAAGAAACGATCACACCTCACGTGTCACGTATGACCTTGCCATGTTCAGGTGTCGGAAAACCGGTTCTTGCGGGGGATGATGGCAGATTTGCCAGATGATCATCAAATGACTGGAGTCTGCTGGACTCTCTGGTTGAACACACCGAAGCCGCTTCCGTGGCCGCGGTTCGACCCATTCGACCCGTGCTGCCGGGCGGCCATCGACCTTGCGCGGATCTTGCTCCGTCCAGGCCAAAATGAAGGACAGGTTTTCCAGGCGCACCAAGGTTCTGGCCAAGGAGTGCAAGGGTGTGCCTTCCTGTCACATCGGCCCCAAGTCGGACGCAGAAGAGCCAGGTCACACGAAAGACGACAGTCCCAAAAAAAGGTAGCCAGTGACGGTAAATAGGACCCGTCACCTAAAATACCGGTCATTCAACCTCTGTTGGTCTGTCTCGATCGAAGAGAAGCAAACACGCATCCAGGGAGGAAGTGACACGCATCCCAAAGGGGTCTTTCAGCGGGAATTGCGAGGACCGAAGTGGTGGGGGTGAGACGAGTCATGCAGCTGACATGCATGACTCAACGGAAGCGACTGTGACATGTGTTCACGCGGCGAAGGGCGAGAGATGGGTACTTCTCAGGAAATTCGTTCATATATAGCAGAATATAATATATTGGAGGACAGTTGCTTTGCTGGTGTTGTGAAAATAGGCAGCAAGCTGCTTCAAATGCTCCTTGACTCTTTGTCAACTTTGTCAATCGAACCACCATTGATCACAACTCACCACACACCGTGTTTCTCCTCCCTCGAAGCCACCACTATCTCGAGCAGATCCTCTCCAAAAAAAACAAAAGAACTCAAAACCACCACGCCCGCCGCCACCGACTCGTCCTTGGCATAAAGCAGATTCAGCAAGAACCACGGCTTGCGCCCTGCAGCTTTCCATCGCTTCCGCACCAGCGCACACCAGCCACGGTGTGCGGTGCAAGGTACCTTGCCCACCTTAATGAGCTTGATCTCCAAGAGGTGGTCGGGATCACGGTCCTCTACAACTGACCAGAGAAGTCGGTACATTGATTTCAGGCGTGAGGTGCAGAAAATCAGTAGATGCATCATGCATCAATTTTTGCGCACCTATAGCTACTATATGTTAAGACATGCACTCAATCACTCAGTCTAGATTAATTTGATGAGCTTTCTGAAATGAATTCACTAGCGTCTCTCTGCGATCCAAATCATCCATTCCAATCCCATCACTGACAAGAAGACTAACAAGTAGCAAAATGGTCATTGGACAAGAAGCAGTCAGATTTTTGGAGGGGCACCCCTCCTCCTCGCCCTCCGGTGTCTTTGGATACCCTCGGATGGCTCTCCAAGGCGTTTCATTCTCCTCGACCGAGCTGGAGCGCTCAAGGCGGTCGAAGACGTTCTCTTCGAAAAGCAGCGGAGGAAAACGCAGAAGGCGATCGAAACATATTGATATGTCCATATTTCACAGGAGAGATTGATGGAAACTGCAAAGCCAGAAGATGTGGTGGCCGCACGAATGAATTTCATTCCTTTCTGAACAACACAACAAGATAACTAAGAGGTTTTGTATCTATTGGGACGGGGGGGGAAATGTGGTTCGACTTCTTTTGGAAATGCTTTATTCAGTGCCCTGCACTGCTCCTGATAGATGAAGTACTTTTCCAACAGCCCTTCTGGTAGCAAACCTGGCAACGGAAAACCGCGCGGCGACCAATGTCCATGCGGGTTGCTGGTTGGCTTTGCGTTGCTTGGAGCACCCTGTCTCGGTTGACTCCTTTTCTTGGATCCGGACGCCCAAGGGTCTAAGTAACTAAAGGACTTCAAACACGTCCCCCAAAACAAGTCCTGGTTTGTCAGAAAGAAAGGGACACCAAAGGAAGGCTTGAATAGAAAAGAGACTCCTTTGTGGCAATGGTTGATTCAAAGCAGCCAGAAACAAACGCTTCGGGCAACCCCGTTGCAAGGCCTTTCAGTAAGCGCTTCGGCAAATATTGCTCTCCTTCCTTCTGCGAACGCTCCCAAACCTCAGTAAGTCAAATGCGCAGGTGGAGCAGGTGTCTCCTGTCATCTCCTCTGTCTCGCTTGAAGAAAGAGAACTGAGGAAGAACAGCACTGAGAAAGACTCAACGAGCCGAACTGAGTCTGTCTGTTCTTTTGATTACCTTACAAATCCAACTTCATAGCCCAAACATGCCCAAACACTCCATGGGACTGCCTTATATACCTACATTGACCCCTCCAACCACCCCAATTGATCGGCATTATATGGCAGTCCCAGACGGGTCGTGTCTGGGTAGGGGTGGAGAAATTCCACTCCAAAGACTCCAAATCACTTCAATCACTCCACTCATCCTCGGACCGTCTCGTCTATAACACTCGGACCGTCACCGGACTCGAGGTGAACTCAGTCTCCAGGTGAACTTGGAGTCTTCAAGGCTCAACATCTCCCAGACTCCCAGACACAACCCGAAGAAGGGACTGCCATGTCGGACTGCCGCCCCAAAACGGCCAGGGGTGGTGGTGGTTTGGGGGGTCTGTTTGGGGCGGCAGTCCGACTTGGCAGTCTCATGGAGTGTCTGGGTATTGAGGGCGACACCTGAAAATGACGCTGGTGATGTGCCATTGACAGGGTTCGTTTCCCGTTGGGCCTCAAGCCATGGAAAACCTTTTCCTTTCGCGATTGCGAACTCCTTGGTTCATGGTTCCACCTCCCAAGCCCGATCCACCGATGGGAGCGGCCCCAGCGGAGCTCCGGTGGAAGATGTGGTTCTTTTATTCGACACCGGAGAGCCTTGTTGGTGTCCTGTCTGGGTGTCCTGTCTGGGCCTCTCTGAGCCTCTCGGGGCCTGCAGTAGGGGCCATCCATCACCATCACCCCCGGACCGCAGAACCGGTCCGTCGTCGACTGCACCGGCCGTCCGAGAGAGAGAGAGGAGTCGTGTGTTTGGACGTCCCGAAGGGCTTGGTTTTGTTGCCAGGCCATACATGCCATGCGAGGAGTGTCTATATAGTACTGATGGTGTAGGTCCACGAGGCGAGCGAAGTTCCCAAAAAGCTCCACAAGAATCATCCCCAAAGACTGCGAGTGATGTGGAGGATTTTTGGGATGGGGCAAACGTTCGGGGCATGTGTTTGGCGCATCCGACTTGGTCCAAGATGGCCTCACATAGGAAGTCCACTAAACAGCTGAACCTTCTCAGCCACAGCGACAGTAGGCATCAAAATCAACACCAGCCTTTATAGATGTTTATATATAGATGTCCAATATCTTTCAAGCGGATTCACCTCACACTTGTTCGAAAGAACACCTTCCACCACCTTCCACCTTCCTCCACACCGCACCACCGCTAAAAAAGAAGGCCATCCACTCCTTGAGCCATCTACTCCAACACCGGCTCGTATGTTCGGCTCGTCCAGAGGTTGAAGAACCCGAACCTTCGACTATCCCAGTTCGGTACGCCAGGTTACGGTCCGAACGTTCAGGTCACTTCACCTACCTCTCTTTGGGTCTTCCGGCCCGACAGCCCCTGGGTCAACCCATCCAACATCGACCGCTGACCGCCGGGGGGCGGTGCGCTCCTTCCGCTCCTGCTCCGTCTCGTCGTCGCTGGGCTCCCCGTCCGACCACTCCTCGCTGTCGTCCAACCTGGAGGACGGTGGAGAACGCGCCGGGTACCTGGGGAGTGGTAATGACTAGTGCAAACATGCGAACTAAGCACCCTATAGTCTAGTGGTCCCCAAAGAGATAGAAACGGTGTCCAATACCAGGTTCAATGGGATTTTACCTGTTTCTCTCTCTTTGGCAATGTTTTAATTCTATAGCTCGATATATAACTTGTATAACGATGTTCCTACTTCGTCCCAGCTCGGGTCCCTTGTTTCCTGGTCCCCACACCCACCTTGTCCCACGCATCCCCCACGTCCACTCTGCGGAGCCTTCCTTCTCCCCGTCCGAGGGGCGGATCCTTCTTCCCCGTCCCAGCACCGGCGCTGCCGTCGCTGTGCACGTCCTTGACGATGGTCCGCGACATCACCTGCGGCAGCTTGGCCGTGCCGTGCACAAGGTCCGTGGGTTCCTGGAGTCCATCTGGGGTGGAACCAGGGCGAGGACGGTGGTCCCCGTGAACTCCCTTTTTGGGGGGTGGTCTCTTTGGTTCATCGTGTGGGGTCGGGTGGGTGGCCTCCGTTTTGGCCAATGCTGCCCGGCACAGGCGACCCGCGGTCGTCATTTCAAGAGGACGACGGTTCTCTTGGAAAAGTTCTGCTTTGACTGGGAGACTCGAAGTTGTGGTCTTCTTGGAAACACCTCTGACGTCTTCTTATCTCCACTCTTCTCGTTTTCAGAGCCTTGGTCACCTCGACCGATCATTCCAGCAAGGATTTTCAGGATCTACCAGCAGTTCCATTGGGGGAACTGAGTGCTCTCATGCGAGTCTCCCATGGAGGAAGGAGGACAGGGTGCCCCTGTCATATCACATCCATGGCCCCATCCATGGGACGACGATTAAAACACATCTAAACACCCCGAGCTCTGTGCTCCATGTGACTCCGAGCGAAGTTGATCCAATCATGACGAGGTCCAATCAGACCCGGGGAGCTTGAAAACTCACTTTCGGATCACGAAGCTGTCTCAGCTGAGAGCTGAAGCAGGATGGCTGTGAGTCAGCCGTCACCTTTTTCGCCCAACTATGGCAGGTTGAACATCTCTTACAAAGGGATCTATTCATGTTCAGGGTCAACAAGGGTGCCCACAGCCAGATCTGAAAAAAAAAACGGCAGAAACATGCAGAAACCACCGCCCCACTTGCTGATCTTGAGGCCATGTTGCCACAGTGGGCGGCTTGTCTTGCATATTCCTCAGCAGAAAGAGATGCAAGTTCATAGAGGGTGTCGCATTGAACGCTTAAAGAAAAGGTTCAACTTTGTCCATCTCGTCATAGAACGTCCTCAAGGTGACAAAAAGGTCGAAAGCCTGAAAGCAGTCACTGCACCTTGTTCAGCAAGAATGAGCTTATTGTTTTCCTGATCGTGACATCCATCGATATAGCCGATACAACACAAAGGGTCGGTCCAAGACATGTCGGTCCAAGGAATGACCAATTTGGTCAACCCAAACTCATCCTGTGGATTCTGTCTTGGGCTTCTGTGCTTAAGTGGATCAAACCACCAAGGGCAACAAGAAGCACCTCACAAATCTTGCAACACCCACAAGATCCACTTGTTTTATTTTTATTCGACTTGAATGCTTTCTGAGTCGATGTCACTTCATTCCTTCATGGGACCCCCGTGGAAATCTGAACCAATGTTACAAACACTTGTCAACTTTAAAATGAGCTTGGCGCCAATCCCAAAGGAGGCAGTTTCTCGCTGAACTTCACGCGCCACTTCCCCCAACTTCCGGAGGCTTGCATTGTGCCTTCTTCGGTGCCTCCCCAAATCCCTCCCCCCATCAACTTCTTCCGTTCTTCCCTTCCAAAGTAAAGACCACCGCCGCTGAGCAACAAATCGGGCTGTCCCGCCTCGTAGCGGCCCCAGTCCTGACCGAACGCTGCAGTCAGAAAAGGGTGCACGCGCGGCGTCCGCTCCACAAGGAACAGAACTCAACAAATGACTCTCGTTACTAGTAGTAAGGCACTTGTTACTAGTAGTAACTGAGTGGACCTGAAAGAATTCAGTTGGCTGAAAAGAAGGAACGCAAGAAAACAACGTTCACCCACTCGCTGAGCCTCTTGATATCCTCCGAGTCGGGTCATGTTCAGCCTTTCTCCAAGGCACCGGCCATGGATCTTCGCGATCATTTGGACTCGGCTGCTTCTCTGCCAGGCAATAGCGTGCGTTGGTGGTATACTCCAGCGATCTGAGCGAAGATCCGACCGCGGGGGACGGGGGCATCCGTCGCGGCTCCATGGTGCCGGACTTGGACTTCACGTTCGCCCCGGTTTGATGGGGAGTTTCATAGGGATGAAGGCAGTTTCACAAGCGAATCCTTGATTCATGGGAGGGCGCAAGATCTCCCCATCAAGGATTGGCAGTTTCATGGCTGGTATCCGTGTGTCGATGCGGAATGAGGGCCCGTGACCGGGCGCGCGCTTGCGCGCCAAGTGGCTCACGGAGAAACCTGCGACAGGGCCAGCAGTTCCAAAGGGGGTGCCCATGATCCACTCATTTGGGGAGGCTGCAAACCATTCCTTTTGGAACTGCTGGACATGCCTGTCTTCATCTTGCAGATGCTCTGACAGTCATACGTCATACCTACCCTTTCCTCAGTCTCTTGGTAGACTGTGTGACCGCTTGCCAGTCCAAAAAGCCGGACCGTCCGCTTGCCACTTGCTTCCTTAAGCTCCGATGCCCCGCGGCGGTTCTCCCGGTGCACCAGGCTTCGGGAGGACCCGACCGTGCGGAAGACGGCCGGGGCCTGTAGTGCTGGTGACCATAGGAATCGATCTTGAAGATCTGCACCGAGCGCAAGTCGCGAAAGACCATCACCTCTTTCCAGACTTTCCCACGCACCTGGCATTCCAGGTTTGGAGAGAAAGGTTTGGAGGAGGGGAGGAAGATGGAGGAGGTGCCCAAAAACTCCATGGATGGCTCTCCTCCGAACCCTCAGCAGATCCATGGATGGCTCTCTGGCGCTGGAGGCTTCGGACCTGGCGCAGTGAGTTGAGTCCTGGAGACCTTGGATTCCAACCATCACCCACCGCACCAAACAAAACCTACAAGCGTAGCCCAGAAGTCCCGAACCAATGCCTTCTATAGACATATATTGAGGGCAAAGCCTAAAAAACAGAATCACCAATGTGAAAAAAGATACAGAAATCAGATCCATTGAGCCTATAGGTCCATCCCCACCCCACCCCCGAATGGTCGTCCTCCAAGCCCCCAAAACGACCGACGATCGACGGTCGTCGCCTTCGGATGCACAGCGGCCAACACGATCACCGAGGCGGATGGGTCCGTCTCTTCCAGCAAGAAGAAGAGGATGGGCTGAGGCACTGCAGGTGGCACGAAGAATTTCAGCCTGCGCCCCAGCTGTTAAACCGGTCCACGAGGCACAAGCTAGCAGGTCCAGGACCTTCCAGGAAGCCAAAAAATTACATGTTGGGTTTCCTATGACTATGCAGCATTGCCCTGTAGGGGCACACTGGAAGCTTGAGGAGCGCCTTCAAAGGGGATTTGTTTACAAATAATTACAGTAAATTACAAAGAAAAAGGGCTCGGAGCTCGAAAAGAGTCGAGCCGCTCCAAAGGACGAAGGGGGGGCTAATTTCCAGAAAGCAGCTGTGCCAAGCTCGGTCTCGCGTCTCCGACGCGGCCCAAGTGCGGAAGCCTTTTTGGGGTCCGCAGGATCGCGGGTGATGGTCGAAACAACTGATGTTCAAAGCGTTCTGCGAAGGAAGGAGGGTCATCCTCAAGTGGAGCACGCGGAGCACCAGATGCATTGGCACCCACAGAAACAGGGCGGTGTAGAACTTGGTCCAAAACGCATCCAATCGGTTCATGTTTGAAGTTTGGAGGACCCAAAAAGGGACGCCTTTTGGAGGCCTTAGACCTTCTCGATGGACAACTAGGAGCCCAGTTCGCTCTCCACTCGGCTCTCCACTTGCGGATGCCCAGCTTCCGCACCGCCCGGGCCAAGCGCCCAGGGACGGGGCTTTCCGGGGCGCTCAGTCCCACGGGCTCCTTGGAACACCCAAAAAGCGGATGGAGGGCGGACCCAGGACATCTAGCATGTACAGAGCCATGCCGACATGCCTAGGATGCAACAAACAAGAAACAGTGAAGACCAGCACCTTCCAAGAGGTGTCTATGAATAGCCTCTTAGTGGTTAAGGGGTGTCCAAAAACCACCTGTTGGAAGGTGCTGGCACTTGTGACCATGTGTTTTATATGATTCCAATGTAACGTACCAAGAAGACACTTGTGACTTTTCACCATGGATCCTTCGCCAAGCACCCGAGGTGAAGAGAACAAATCATTCTGAGAATGGCTGTGAACTCACCCTTCGCAGAGGAGGTTTCAGACCATGTGTTGGGAGTCACACCCCTTTTTTAGCATGCGAACGACCTGGAGTGTTGTAAAACCCTTAGTGATAAACAATTGGTTGTTCGGTAGCACAGCTGTGAACTTAGTGGTTGGAAGCCTTCCAGGCCGAAGGTGGCCCAGGCCAGTAAAAGGGACTGTCGTGCAAATTGGAGAAGCTCACGACCCAAAAAAGCCACCTCAACTCACTGCGATCAACTTCAACTTCAAGGGCTCCATGTTCTCCCTGAAAGGCGGCTTACCCTCAGCTTCTCACTTACATGGACATCGGAAAACCACCCTGTTCGCGATGGAAACAAAAAATAGAACACTAGACCAGCACCCTCCAACAGGTGTTTCCTGGTGACAAGTCCGGTGTCCATGTTTCCCACCTGTTAGGGTCTCCAAAGAGCCTGCCAGGAGGGTCCTCGTAGAGGTTCCAAAGGTTCCACTCGTCCGATGAGACGGATCCTGATTCGGTCGCCTTTTTGGGGTACCTGTCCCACCCACACCCCATCCGACCCTCGTTCTGAACACAGAAGGGTGGCAAGGACCCAACGCTCCAAAGGTAACCTAAAGGTAACCTGTCATTATGTCGAACATCTCAATCCTTCCGTTCCGCTCTCAAAAAGGACACACCATCACCCACTCCCATCCCCTCCCCACCTTTCACACCTTCTCCACTCACACCCCCACACTCCCACACCACTTGCGAGGTGCGTGCGCGTGCTTGTGGGATGTTCATGGCACACATAGGTGTAATGCCTCCCTTCACACACCGAGCGGGCAATCTCCACTGAGAGATGCCCTTGCCCGGCGTAGCCCGCCAAGTCCCCTGCGAAGCACCAGAGGTTGTAAGAGGTGTAGCCTCCGTTCGCGTCTCGTCTCGTCTCGTCGTGGCACCGGAAGGGAAGCGACGAAGAAAAAAGACCGGAAGACGTGCGGGTCTTGACGGACGTTTTTGTTTGCCCTTTTCTATTCATTGGGAGTTGTACTGTTGTTGTGAGGTAAGAATCAGGGTTCTTAGAGGAGGTGTTGAAACTTGTGGGTGTGAAACTCGATGACGAGACGGAGCAGACCTGGATGTGAAGTTCGTTCGCTCGATCCAACGAGCAGACACTGGGTGCCGAACACCTGGGGTGGTCGTTTTCCGGTTTTTTCCGGACACCGAAGCTGGAGAGTTCTCACTGCTATGTGTTTGACCGGAAGGGTAGGAGATCTCTGGATCAGGCACCGTCGCACATCAGTGATGTTCCACAAGAACTGATCGCCCTCCTTTCTACACTTGGTGGAACGATGAAATGGAAGTGGATGGCACCCCGATTTCGGAAGACGAGGAGTTCATCCTCTCAAAACAAGGGGGTGAACTCCACTTCCATGAGCGCAAACCCACAGAGAGAGAGAGAGAGAGAAACCCAAATTCCTATAGGGATCCCAGTGCCTTCGCAGAAGGGTGATGCGTTCGACGCTGTTCTGCGCGGGTGTTTGGACACACCTCGAGTCTGGTCCCGAAACCACTCGTCCTCGTCGTCGCAACGACACCCGAGGCACGATGCTCCAGTGGCACGTGGGCATCGATGTACCTGGGACCGACCCACAACGGAGACGGACGGAAGGGACGGTCAAGGCCAAGCACGGTAGACGTGTTCTGTGTTTCAACCGTTCGCAACACAGAGGCGACGGTCAAGGCCAAGCAAGTTGGCCAAGCAACCAACGCGGCTGAAGAATAGGGCAAAATGCCTGCTCTGGTAGGGAAAAACGCTGAAGAACTTCACAAGAAGAGAACATCCAGAGTTGGAGGACACCAATCTCAACAGAATTAAACAAATTCAACAGTTAGGCATTTGATTGAACAGTTCAGCCGTTGATTTGCAGTTGACTTCACTGTTTATCCACAATCCACAAAGCTGTGGACGAACAATTAAGCCCAAGTTAAGCAGTTGAACTGTATTTGAACTTAAAACAATGCACAGAAACACGGGGCCCAAAGCCCATGGACTCAGTCTGACTGAGGTACCAAGATAGGTGAAACATGGTGAAACTCAAAGTGGTGCACTTGGGGAAAGTAAGACACCAAAATATATAAAATGTGAACCAAGCAAGCAAGCAAGCGAGCAAGCAAGGAAGCAAGCAAGCAAGCAAACGAAAAGTTATTCCTTGTGATTCCTGTTAGCTGATCTTGACTTGTCCACAGGTCGGTTCATGCGAAATCATCACAATCAGAATCAGAATTGACAAAAAGCGTTGCCTTAAAACCTGATGCCCCAAAAAACCATGTTCCTGACCCAAAAGGGAATCTTTGGGGGGGTCTTCGTGTCTGACCACTTGTACACACCTTTATAGGGGGAGGGGATCGACGACCCGTCTCCCAGCGTTTGCCCAGCTACTTGGCTGAGAGCCCGTAGATGAGCCCGTTGCCGAAGTAGGCCACGCCGGCCGCAACGCCCGTGACGATGGGGATCAGTAGAAAATTCAGCGCCTCACCTGGCGAGCTACTTGGCGATGGACGGCTCGATCGATATCCCAAGAGAAACCTCCCAACCAAATCCAAGTGTTGCCCAAATCTTTTTGAGCATGGCGGTTTCTGCCAACAACGACTACTACTACTACTACTACTACTACTACTACTA